TTTTTTTTTTTTTTTTTTTTTTTTTTTTTTTTTTGAATTTCTAATTGGATATTCTAGATTTCCAGGAGTTGTGTTGTGTTTATCTTGAGATATTATACTTGTTTTGATGTTTAAATTATCAGTCTATACTCAATTGCTTGTTGTGTTGCTTTGTATTCTTGCACTGGGCTTATGCTTTTATATACGATCAAGGCTGCTCTGTTTTCAATACATATTTATATTTGTTTTGTTTCGCAAGATTGTGTATAAGTGGTGCGGTGTGGTACAGCATAGAGATATATAACCTGATAGGCTCGACCAGCGTTCATTATTGTTATTATCATGTATAATAAACCGTATTGTTGAATATATTCGAGTCATCATTTCAACCATACTCCTAGTATTTTGCAATCCAAGGTCGCCTATACCAACGTACTCGTACTCCTCCCAAACCCAAAATCACTCTTTCTTCGTCTCCTCACAGCCCCCTCATTCGGACGACGACGCGGTCCACTCATACTAGCAACAGGCGAGGTCTCCCTTGGTCCCCGTCGTCGAACAATCTGATACCCTTTATCCAGCGCGATCTCAATAGCACAACGGACCTTGAGCGCGGACACAGCCGGCCAGACACCTTTCTCGCCCTTCAGAACCCAGTTAGCTAGACTTTCTTTGCTGGATCGCTGCAGAAGCTGCGCGAAATCGCTCAATGAGAGGTCGGGAACGAGAGTTAAGTTTGGTCCTGGTATGGTTTCTTCAATGAGGAGTCGGCCTGCTATTTGTGGTAGGAGACCTAGGTAGTCTAATTGCCGTAATCTGTGACGGATTTCGGCTGTGACGAGACGCATTAGGGAGCGGGTGATGTTCCATTTGCCTGCTTGTCGTCGGTCCAGGAGATCTAGTTCTGTACTGAGGAAAGGAATAAGATATGGTCGGGGCTGCGAGACTATGAAATGGTTAACATTGAATAATTCGGCGATTCGGGACAATGGTGATTCTCCGTCGTTGTAGTGCACATTAAACCATGGCCGGAAGATTGCATCTTGTGAATGTGGCCATGGAACAATCGAGCCGGTCTCATCCTTGCAGTATATTGTCATCGGCTGGTTAGTCACTGAAGATGAGTTTGATGCAGCTGCAGCGGACCAGATTAACTGTGAGATGTCAGCTGGAAGTCGCAAAAATTGGTAACATGAATGGTTCTGCGTACCACATTCGGCGCAGTTAGGTAGTTGAGCAGATTTGGTATCCCAGTCTTGCCAGACGTAGCAACGGTAATGTTCAAGATGCGTTTTGAGCGCGCGTAAGCTTCTTCGAAGGTCAAGTCGCCCAGATTGTCTCGCACGCATTCTTCTAGAAGTTGTGCATCAAGAAAATACCCCTTATGGATAAATCGTTTCATCTGTTGAAACAATGTCCCCAATAACCCATTATCAGACCACCCCCACGAAGTTCGCCGGCGATAGTCGAAACAAGTCAAGTCAATACCATCACCATCCAAGAAGGCCAACAGCTCATCTTCCGTATGAACACAAACGAGCGCAGCAATAAGAGCCCCAGTAGCCGTCCCGGTGATGATCCTAGGCAGGAGACCCTGAGAATGCAACGCTTTCACCACACCCAGATGACACAGTCCAAATATTGACCCGCCTTGCAAGAGCAAAGTCGTACGACCGAACGCCTGGCGGGTATCATGTAACAGCTCCAACTTGGCCTGCGACGAGAACCTGCTGTCGTGCGAAGGGGCTGTTTGCAACGTCGTGACGTGTTGGATGGAGAGCGCTACCTGTGTGATATAGTCATCAATAAGTAGCTTCGTGCCTGCATAGGCGTGGACGTAGAGTTTAGGCGAGGAGATGTTGCCCAGATTGCGAACGAGGCCAGAACGAAGGAGGTTAGCAAGAGTTAGGATATCCTCATCTTCTCGGGCGCTCATGAGGGCCTCTAATCGCCCAAGGATGAGTCGATAGTCATAATGACGGTTTGCTGGGTTCTGGCGCCTATTCCACTATAATTAGTACGACAGAGATAAGTCCATCAGAGAATATCACATACCATACGTCTGTACCTAACACTTCGTCCAGCTCAAAGGCGCATTCTTCCCATTCCTCGTATGTCTGAGCTGCCTTCAAACGATGTAGCAGTCTATCTCGAGGGGACTTGGACCTCCACCATGACAGTAGTTTCTAGCAAACAATCAGCAGATATATATAGTTATAGAAACTCAGTATAAACAGAATTTACATCTCTCCAGAACAGCGTAACGTCCAAAACCATGCTGACAATGGCCGCAAACAGACCGCAAATGGTCGCCCAAGACTCCATTTTGGCGCTGGATGGACGGCATTTACAGGCGAAAAGTGTTGCGTCTTTTCATATACGATATCTCGGGTAAATAAATGTCACTTGCTGGTCGTGCAGGTAAGTGCAGGTAACGAGAGCCGAGAGATAGAGAGAAGTAGGACAAAGTGAAGTGAGGTTGGACAAAGGCAGTTATGTCAGCCGCGGTCGTATTGGTAACTAGTCGCGGCGCATACAGAAGTACCAGGAGTAGATGCACTCCTATAATTCCAGGTAGATAAGAATGAGGAATGAATATTAAGAGACTGAATTGCTCATAAGCCGAATCGCTTTTTCTCTACACGCCTGTATTCTCACCCCAGCTCATACAAGCCATTCTCATGGACACATTAGAAAAAAAGAATAAAAAGGGCATTGATATTTCCATGGTCCGTTCTTTTTGTATTTCGCTTTTGTTGCTTCTTCCCTAGTGCAAGTAGGCGAAACATAAATTCTCCAGACATCCTAAATCTACCCACCCAGGCGGACACCTCCGTCAAACCGTTTACTCTTCGACAATGTTGCCCCGCTCCGACACGTAGAGACCGTCAAGGAACTGGAAGAGTCAGCGACGGTCATATTTCAAAATGCTTAGGGTGTTCGTTCTCACCTTCCGGATATCCTTGTTCCGAACTCTGCAGATCTGCTGGATGTCGGCGGCACTCTGGGAGACACCCTCGAGGGAGTTACCGAAGAGCTGGAGCTCATCCTTGACGCTGGGCGAGGTGATGACCTCGACACCGGGCTGAGCAGTCACACGACGGACGTACTTCTCACCCAAGAAGTTTCTGTTGGTGAAAACCCATCAGTCAAAATCTATGCCCAGCATGGAGATGTCCCAGTGTTCTTCCTGATATTGAATTCCACTGGTCCTCCGTGATCAAATTGGCGCATACCTGATCTCAACGTCGTACTGGCCAGTCTCGGCGTTCTTGTCAATGTTGACGTTGATGGGAAAATGGGCGTAAACATAACGCATCTTGTACTTGAAGCCCTTGGTGACACCGATGATCAGGTTGTTAATGATGGTGCGGACGGTACGGAGGGTAGCGACACCCTTGCGGGCACCGTGGTGCATCTCGATTGAGATAACATTCTTCTCAGGGCGGCCGAAGGTAACGGCGATGTGAGAGAGGTCCTTAACGAGCTTGCCTAGAGGGCGTGTCAGTCGCGAATCCCAAGTGCCAATCTCCGCTCAGCTCAGAAGATGGTTTTGTTCTTCTATCTGAGCTGCATAAGGCAATGGGGAATTGGTTGCATACCTCGGGGGCCCTCGACGGTCACAATGCGCGAACGAATGTGAACCTTCACTAAACAGCGAAATAGTAATCAGTTATCAAATTTCAATAAGCCCATCTTGTGTCTTCTTCCCCTCTTCACACAAGAGTCCCCCCGGCTCGTCCTGGCGCAACCCCATTGCGATAAGACAAAATTTTTGGTGCTTCATTGCTCTTTCTGATCGTCTGGTCGTTCATTCCGTTGATCTTTCCATCCAGTGTCGTTTGTCTCGTCCAGGTCGTCCAGGAATCACCGGGGCCGTTCTCTCTCTCTCTCTCTCTCCCTCCCCTTTCACACCAACATGGCCAGGGAATAGACACAAGATTCAACACACAAAACTGGCGCAATGCTCACCATTCTCGGGGATGGGCAGCCGTTCCTCGGAGTGAATGTACCGCATCTTGACTGCGTGGGCTGTAGAATGTCCGAGGGGAGAATTGTCGAAGTCGTCGTGCGGTCGGTCGTCGAAAGGATCGAAATTCCTCTGGAGGTTCTCTCGTTGGCGGTAGTGGACCGAAAATCCAAAGGCGGGCGGGTTGTGCGTCGCTTAATTGACTGATCCGGTTTAGCGCAGTCGCTCTAGGGTTGGCTTACTTAAGCCCCTACAAGGAGAATGTGTAGGAAGGGCCAAGCAAGCATAGTAACAGAAATAAATAAAGAATTGTCGTTTATAGGAACATTACAGTACATAGCCGTCCATAACTCCCAATGGTATACAAAATGGGTTTGTCTTTCCAAAATACCAGCCCAACCGTAACGCCCTAAACCAGCATACAATCACGACCAAAAAGAGAGCCGATGCGATCAATTATCAATAAGATTGTTCGAGAGGAAATATCATTCCTCCTGACTCTTGCGAGTGACCTCCTGGATCCACTTCCCACCGAGGTTCTTCAATGTCGAAGCCAATTGATCTTCTTGATCCAATGCGGATACATCATCACCTCCTCCAATACTTTTTCCGTTAACCAAAACATTCGGTACGGTACGGCGGCCGGTGCTTTCACCTAGAACGCTCTGGAGTGCTCGTCCCAGTTTGTGGTGGTCAAGCTCGACCACATATGGCTCCGGAACAATAGAGTATTTCTTGAGCAAGATGGACTTGGCTTTTGCGCTGAAAGGACAGTAAGATTTCGAGAAGACGATGACTGGACGAAAAAAAGGAAACATAATTAGCATTGTCCAGCAATACGGAATAGATAAGATGGACATACTTGGGGCCCGTTTCAGGATAGCATTCAACTCATCCTTAGCCTCCGCGTGGTCATCGGTTTCAGGAGCCTGCTCCTTCTCCTTTTTAGGCGCATTATCCTTGTTCTTGGGAACGGTCATCTTAGTCCTCCCCGCAATAGGTATCTCCTGCATCTCTTCACTGTCTCCTTTGGGGTTACCGGTGTCTGCCTTCGGAACCTCTGCCTTTGGCGCTTCTGGAACAATCGGTTTGGGATCGGGCTGTGCTTTCACGACGGCTGCTTCGTGTTCTGCATGTCTCTGCGCCTCAATCGCTTTCACCGTAGACCGGTAGAACCGTTGGTTCTGAATCTTGCTTCCGTCTCCCTGGAATAGGCCACATTTCCGATTAGCATTCCGTTCGAGTATGGCCAAGCAGTCACATGATAAAGAGATCGGTTTACCGAATAGTAGAAGAGTATTACTAGTAATACTAGCATAGCAATGAACAGAGGCCGAAGTCGTCGCTGAGGAATCATCTTGGAGTGTAGTTTCGATACTTATGCTCGAGGGACGTTGTTCAATTCAGACGCGCGCACATATGAACACTCTGATGCGTTCAACTAGGTGTATATAATCCGTTCCTGAGAAGAAAACAGCTCAATCGTGCGTTCCGGAGAGGTCAATGACAACCTGGTGATCATGGATAAGGAGCACCGATAACAACGACGGGGCATTGGCAATGCAACTGAGATTCTTGGCTAGTGCGTCCCAGTGAAATAATAAATATGACACGAGTCAGATAAACAGGAAAGATAAGAATGTATGTCCTAGCTAACAAGTCGAAAGTGTCAAACAGGACTGGCGCGGAGGTGCGCTCCTGTAGGGGGCATACTACATACTGGATTTGGCAATTTTCCGATAACTAGCCGCGCGTCTTACGTCATGAGCATAAGCGCAGCCCTCCCTTTTTCCTCAATACATAGCAGGATTCGAATGGCAGGTACAGAGTACGGAGCTCAGAGTGCTGAGATGGAGCAAAAAAATTATTGGCCAATACAGTGTCAGGCTATTATAAATTAAGTTAAACGCTACATATGCTAAAAAGTTGGGTATTTGGCTCTAAAGACACAAGAAAAAGCAGATGGTATCGTGATCAAACAAAAAACAAAAATGAAACAGGCATAAGTTTCGACGGACTGTATATAACGGTGTGAGTTAAGGAGTGTAGTATGCTGTAACAGTCAGGATAGTGATATCAATGGAATATTAGGCAGTAAATGGCCGATGACCGCAGAGCCGGCAGCGGCATCGGATGATGAGTCGAAGATCCAATGAGGTCGTCAGCTTGTACCTCTTTGAACCACAAGAATGGCTTATACTCGGTGTGCAATACCGGATCGCGCTGCTGCTGCTGTCGTCGCTTTCCGTTTGCCTTGAACTAGGATCATCCAGTCTTCCCATTCTTTGGCGATTTCCATCAGGACATTTCCCATGACAGCCGCAGATGCCATCAATCCGTGACCTTCATCCTCGAGGATCCGGACTTCGCATCGCCGCATGGTCTTCCCGAGCCACCGGACATTGTCCACCGGAACTCGAGTGTCTTTGCTTCCATGGTGGATCACCACTGCTCGGGTGATATCAACATAACGGAATCCAATCGGCCGGTTACGTTCCAGGCATATCAGCAAATCAATTGCCGGGTTCGCATTCATGGTCGCTAGCTCCCAAATCTTATGGGTTAGCCGATTATCATAGTCGATCTGACGTTCACGTTCCTCGGTCATCGTGGCTTCACGGTCAGCCTCCACAGTGTTTGCATTGAGGGATGGCTTGTCAGAGACGCCGAGCATTATGTTCTCCAGGGCTTCGAGTTCATCGCCTTGCTGGCGTATCGTAGACTGCGCTCGTTGGGGGGGCTTAGCCGGGGCCGCGTTACTGGATGTTTCTTTCATCGTTGTCCGGTATCGAGTCCTTCGGGGAGACTTTGGCAGGCTCGAGGTAATACTAGCACTTGTCGCGCTCATGAAGCTGGAGTTGGCAACCTTTAAGATTGATGTCGGCAAAGCACGAAGAATTCTTTGCGAGTACGGCACAGCATTAGCGGGCACAGGCTCCTTATGCGAGCCAATACTAGACAGCTGGGACGGCGGGATCCAAGGGGCCAGCAGGTGAACACGGCCGCGGATATGCTGCGGGATTCTTAAGGCTGTGGCTAATGCATAGATCGCCCCAGCAGAATGAGCGAGTAGTGAAAACTTGGTGACCCTAAGGTGGTTACAAACAACCGCAACATCATCTTACACAATCAGTCAGCTGCCATGTTCCAACCATGCTTGCGGAATAGTTTACTTACCGGGCCAGCCTAGAGGTGTACCCGTCTCATCCATATAAGGTTCGCTTTCGCCAACACCAGGACGATCCAAAGTGATGAGTCGGAGTTTGAGAGTCCGTGCCAGTTCGTCATAGAACGCCATCAGATACCTCGTAAGGCCCATACCCAAGCAACAGAGTACAACATGCCCTTTAGGATCTCCGACTTCAGAGAACGCGATCATCCGGCCCGTGGTTGGGTGAGGAATCTTTTGCGTCAACTTCGGTGAAGAGACATAGTCGGACACCGCGACGTCAATTGAATCAACGCTTGACGGGCGATCAACCGCGACAGATGCGCGAACTGGGGAAGTGGGGTCAGAAGGAGAACGCTTATGGCGCTTCGTCGGGGTCAATGGCTCCAAAGATTGCCGGTGATGAAGTCTGTCCGCCTGGTCCAACTTGTCGAGTGATTGCCCAGTCGACTTCAATTGTGGTTGATCCACCATGGATGACAACGGTGTCCCCGTCGAGGGCATCATTCTGCTTTTGCCCGTCAAAACCGCTGGGGCTGGTGCACTCTCGTCGACCACAGGAATCGTTTTGGCAGGGCTAGTAGCTTCCTGGTGTATCTCAATTGGTTTCTGTGAAGGCGCAGACGGCTCAACGGGCGCTTCAGTGGCTTCTCTGGTGGCTTTGTCTGGGGTGTTGTCTGTTTCTAATTCAGATTTGATCTTTTGTTGTTGGTCTTTCAGCTGCTGTATTCGTTTCGTTACTTGTTCAGCATCGTTATTGTCCGCTTCAAATACACTCTTGTCGGATTTAGCATTCTTGTCGCCAACTGAAGAATATCGCCTGTGACGAGTCGAACGGTGGTACTTCGTGCTGGAAGAGAAACTGTGCCGTAATGAGGACTCGCGGGCAGGAATCGTTCGACCACTTCCAATCCCCCCAGGCGCGGGCTCCTTAAGGATTTGTAGCGACTGGTTATCTCTGCTGGGAGGGGCGCTGGCAGTATTCGTTGTTCGTGCCTCCCTCCCAACACTAAACGGGCGTCTTTCTTCGGTAGCATCTACCATGGAATACATGGAGCGTATGCTCGCCCGATTGCGGGGGGCGTTATACCTCATGGTATCGCTGTAACTGGTCGTCTTGCGCACTTGATCCGTCCTCCTTTCTTTGTCTTTGATGGATCCCCGGGAGGTTTTTCTTAGCAGACCCAATGCGTCTTTGAGACTCCTCCGACCCTCCGAGCTTGATGATGCGATGCTAGGTGCCGTCGAAATTGGCGGCGGTGGCGGTTCTGCACTGATAATTCCGAATGTAGCACATTCGTATGCTTTTCTGGTAGACGTATAAGAGCCTTTGGACGTAGGCCGTATGGGCGACGCGGGTGGGTCGAACGTGGTCTTCACCTTGGGAGATGGCGGAGCCCTGGCCATGCGAACGACGGGCGCATCGGCCGCATCATTTGGATACAAGTAAGGACTGTCTGGTGGCTCGCCTGGTGACTTTTGAGCCCCGTACGTCACGCCAAAACCAGGTCCATTCGATGACGATGACGGCGGCGAGTCCGGGATGCAGAATTCGGTTTGGAGAAAACTGGGAGCAGAAGGGATATCAGGATCGATGCGCGGCACGTTATCAAAATGGCTTTGGACGGGTACGGAGATTGCTGAGAGGGAGGAGATCAACGACGAAATAACTTCAGGAGATGCTGGGTCAACGGTCGAGGGGCTCTTCCTTGCCGCGTGAGCTCGCGAAGGGAGGGATTTGCGACGCCGTGCCAGCAGCGCTGACTGCGCAGGTACGCCATTCGCTGCAATGGGTGCCAAAGTGTGCTGGAAGCGATCCATTGCGCCCTTTGTTGACTCTGGGGGGGGGGGGGGGGTGGGTTAAGTGGGTAGGCCTTGCTCGCCGCGCAGGACTCCGACAGGCCCAGGGGAACTCCGAACACGAGAACAACAATCAAAGACAAAAAGCTAAGATACGCGGAAAGAACGAATGCGGGATTGCATGATCCTATGCAGTCGTCCAAAACAATTGGCGCTGCCAATCAAGTAACGGGGGACTCGATCCGGGTGGGCTGGCGCAAGTGGTGGTTGGTTGTGGTGGTGGTTGGTGAGAATGGCCCGCGACTCTCCTATCTCAGACCCAACCAACCGCGATCAGTGATTAAACTTAGCGTCCCTTGCAAATAAAGAAACGAAATTCCTTGCAGACAGATGCAGGCACGATGGAACGAAGGATTCGAAGAACAAAGGGAGGTGGGATGGACGGAGTTGCAGTAGTATCGGAGCAACGGTACAAAGTACAGAGTACACTGCTGTATGTGAGTGCAATTACTCTGTACAGAGTAAGCTGGTAAAGGAGATCAACGGCAAAAAGCAATAAAATAAAATAAAAAAGCAAGGCCCACGCGAATATTCAAACGATCCACGAGGGATTGAGGGGCATTAAAATCATTTAAGCAGTGATCGTACTCCATACAGAGGCACAGAGTCATCTGTTGACCACCTATACCAGCAAATCACAGCAACGGATGGTTAGGGTAATTTATGCGAAACGAACATCTTCCGAAAAGACCAATATTCCGGTCCCCTTGAGCAGGTTATCTTCCATTTAATCAGATTTGACTTCTCTCAATTACCGCTGGACGGTTCGCAGATCCAAATTTCAGGGGAGGGAAAATTGTCTTGCATGGGACATTTCTTTTTCCTTTCTTTTTTTTTTTTTTTTGCCCCTCTCTTCCTAACGTGTCTTCACAATGCACGTTGCAATGAATATTGAAGCGAGGGTGAACAGTGAATCTCTTATGGAGTTGGATTATAGGCCACTGGCCACCACGGGAGGCTTGTTGTCCCCCTCAATCTTTCGTTAATGAGACGACGCTCCTCGACTTAGAGTTGGCCATTGACGGAGTCTTCCGTTTAAGTTCTACCATACCATAATTACTTTCATAGAGAAGGACTTGTCCTTGTTTCTTAATGGTCTCTCATCCTCGCTGGACTCGGTGATTCTATGATTTGCTCAGTCAGCTGCTATTAATATTCCAGGAGTATTGGGAAGCATTTATGATGGTGATATGGCGGGATCATCAGACAAGCGTTTGTAGACTGCATTCGTTGAAATCCCCCGAGTGTACTCCATCCGCACAGAATACATATTTCTCCGTAAATTGTGCACTGAAACGCACTTATAAATGAGCGAAAGGACGATTATT